GGAAAATCCAATTGGCGATAACTGCTTGGAGGATGTGGTTACACCATAACAAACCAAGCTAACAGGCTGTTGACCTTGCCGAATTTCATGCCTCTTGCAATATGAGCATATTTGTAATCGATATTCCGGCCACATACCATGGATACACTAAGTTGTTTACGGATAGATGCAATAGTATTTTTAAGAAAATGGTTAATAGGGGTCCACATATGCTCTGACAGAAGGAAACATCGGATTTGGTGGTGCACTCTCGAGAAGTAAATCTCCGAGGATCTTTTGTGCTACATCTCAGGTTTTCAGTTCAGCACTTGGACTTGGGTCGCCAATGGCACAAAGGATCTGAACATTTGAACTCCATTCAGTAGCAGTAAAATGCGATAGAAAATGCATGTTTGTGCAACAAAAACAATTGAGTGATACGTTTGTCATGCATGCTTGTGGCCGGATTGATTGATTGATCGATTGTTTGAGAGATTCTGCCTGCTACCACACACGCACCCACTCACGCCATGTGGACTGATCCTATAACATTATCAATCAGACCCAGCCAATCAGGTGTTAGTGTTGAACTGTCAACGCTGATTGATTCGTTGACTGTTTGAATGCCTGCTTGACTGCATTCGGATGTCATGTGACGCTTGAGCCAGTTGTCGGTCTGCTTACCTGCCGGTCTGTATGCGTGGTGACGCACTGCTTGTTCATCGACCCACGGACCGACTGCTATTACACCTCCACTCACGTATTTATTTGCTTCCACAACGGTAGTGTATCTAAGATCAATTCCAAGTTTAGCACATTCCGTAGCCTTTGCGGTGATTAAACTTGTTCTTGACATGATTTATGACTACTGAAAACCTTGCATACACATTCACTCACGCACGGGTATCTGCATCCATTTCACTGAATTCAGATGAAAGAGACCCACCGTCATAAATCTTCTCATGAACCTTTTGAGTATTAACGCGATTACAATCCCAGGGAGTGACCTGACGGCGCTAAGTATATGATATGTGAACGGGAGAACCGCGATTCCATACCTGCAGGAAATCCCATCTCAATACAGACACATAATTTTCGAGTATCAACGTAGATGAATAACTGACTATTCTGTATAACTGGGGAAACACATACCAGTTTTGTGAGATATGGCCACTGTCGTTTGATCCAACCATGCCAGTGGGGTAAACACAAGTCGGTAATGGTAACCCGTATTGTCGATGCGACGGTATACAGGCTGGTCATTTAAAAAGTTCGAAACCTCCTCCTGCGCGAAGATGTCCGTTTGATCCTAGTGTATGGCTGGTGCCGCCTAATGTTGGTCATGTACATTCATGATCTGGAAGTCGTTAATTTTAAAGTATCTATTGAGGATGTGAAGACTTTGTGGTATTCAATTCCCCGTCTCTATAGAATGTTGGTGAGTAAATATTGGAGTACAGTAGTACCCGAAACACGAATTTTCAATGAAAAAGTTGAGTGACTTCTGCCGAGAACGGAAAAAACAGCTTCTCTTCCAGAACAAAGCTTACACAAAATATAAACTGTTACACTCCTTTAACACGGTGTACATGCAAGATGTACACAAAAAAGGTTTCTATCTGAAAAAGCACTCAAGAGAAAAACTGAGATGCCATGGAGTCCGGGGGGTGAGGACCTGTGACTGCCGATGACCAGGATTGATGAATCCATGTTCACCTTGAGATACCGTGTAGAAAACGTGCGCGTCTGAAAACCATACGACGCATACATATATACCGACGCGACCCATCTTATTGCATAGGGAAGTGGAGTGTTCAGTACAAGTTGACAGGGTCATTCTATATCACGGTTTCATCATAAGTTGAACATGAAAAATACGGAATCATCACTATGAGAACACCATTCACGTTGATTTTGGACTGTACAGGAATGTAAACTACACCAAATAGTCGCGCCCTTCTCTTAATTGGCTAGTCTGCCTGTTTCGATTTCAGTCTAAACGAAAACATTTGGGACCTCCTGGGGTTCAGTGATGCTACTCGAGTGACTTTTAGAGTTAGTTAGACCAGTGAAAACCGAGGCAAGGGATGTTAGTCGCCGATGGCACACAAAGATGGCTTATTCTTTCTGAACGAAAATCACGGAGCCGTTGTAATTTAGTATAAGACGTATGTGTCTATGACTTTGAATAATCTCAGATTAGCAGGAGTATTGTTTGGTCCTGAATTGTTGTAATTGTCATAATACTAGTAGTAGTAGTAGCACCCAATGCACGCGGAATACGAATCACGGAGTACGAATCGCTGATGGGTAATCACGGACCCACATAAGCACTGGATCTCACCGGCACTTGCAATTTCCCACGTAACCGAGACGCTCGGAAAAGGTCACAGAAGTAGTAGTTCATTTATTGAAAGAAATAAGCAGGATTGAATAGTATGTTCAAAACAAGTTCATTGGTCATCCGGGACTCTGCCAATCGCGTTCTAGTATTTCCGCCGTCATTCTGCTTCTGTCTTGGTAGCACGGTTTTTCAATTGGCTGGTACGATCGACCTATGGAATGTAGTATGTATGTATGTCGTACGCATACGCTTTGCTGGCATCACAGCTGTCCTAAAACTGTAACGTGCCACTCCATAGTATGTGTCATCACCACTATTGTCTTATCATACCCGAAGCCGATGGCACGACACACATAACCGTTGTCATTGACCTCATCATCAGCATCTGGTGAAGTCCCTAAATAGTAGCCTTTGAGAATCACCCACTGATAAAAAGGGCCTTATTTTAACCACCTTTCAACGCATTCTTAATGTTATTTTCCCCCGTTCGGTTGTTATTCTACCCCATAATCCCTAGTGTAAAAACCCCAGTGCTAATATGTGATGCATGTTTACTAAGAACTACCTAAAACTTAAAACTGCTCCATGGCGTCCTCCGCTGTTGCAAGACACATTGGTTTGCTAAGGCGAGTACTTAACAAATTTGAACCTATGCTGTTCTCTCGTTTGTTATCGACGTGCATTAGACTCCATCCAAGCGTGAAATCCACGAATGCAACGTGATCGTAAGATTCTCGAACATCCACAAAGAATGGACACTAAGATGGTCAAGGGATTGCCTTCCAAGCTTGATGAGAAAAGTCTAATCATTGAGGCTTTACTCAACACAGTAACATCGAATTCGAGGAGGTTTGATTCTGGTGTATCAAACTCTGATCACCCATGTCGTTCACTGCTCACCTTGTCCCCGAAAACTTACCTCAGGGGACCTCATTCAAATTAGTGCTACATATCTGTCGACTAGAGTGCCGACGTCATTCATTTGCCCTCAAATTGTGTATAATTCGGAAAACCATATCAACTCCGGTTATTTCTATGCCCAAAACTACTTCTATCAAGCGCAAACGATATGAAAGATTGTCATATATTAAATTTTGACATCCGTAGCGTTCACAAGGAAGCTCTGTGACACGGCTTCTTCCTATATAATCCATAAATTTATCTAGTTGTGCGAAAAAACCTAATGGGACATGAAAAGAAACCGATTGTATGTATTTCTCAGAATAAAATGTTGTCTTTGACTGTCCTCATTTAAAAAAATTTTCCTGTTACATTTTTATATTCTATCTTTTAGGCTCTGGCCGAAATGGCCCTGCAATCCATTCAACTTGGAATATCCTTACAAAATACAAGTGATCTTCACATGGACAAGATTGATCAGAACCAACTAGAAACAATGCGTGCCACATTCATACGATTTCAAGCTCCGGAATTTCTCAAGGGTGCTATCCTCGAAACAGACAAAGATGCCAAATGTTCCCGTTTGACCACTCTTGTGTCCGGCACGCCTGTGGGGCAAATTATTCAAACCCATGTACAACCATTTATCATTATTTTCACGCTTATCACCAACTGTGTGACATCGATTGTTCTCACACGACCAGCCATGCGAAATCCTACGAATACGTTTTTGTTCGGTATTGCTATTGCTGATCTACTCACCGTTTTACTACCTTTACCAATCTATCTATCCTCACTGACGAGCAATCTCTATCGGGAGCAATTAAGCCCATTCAAAGGATATGCTGTCTCGTATTTGGCCACACTTCTACCCACCATGTTTCACACTTCTGCGATTTGGATCACAGTCCTGTTGGCTGTTCAAAGATTCATCTATGTGCAATATCCCTTAAAAGCCAACGGGATTGTTCTCTGTCAAACCGGGCCAGTCAAATGGTTTACGTTCTCCACCGTCCTATTCGCTCTCCTATTTCAACTGCCCCAGATGATTTTTCTTCGCTATCATCGGGCCATGTCTTTTCGCGTGATCAATCAGACTCAAGCCAGTGTACCCATTCTCCATTCCCGTTTCGGATCTATCGTTCTCGATCAGTTGTGTGTGGTTAAATGTACCCCACTGGATGCTCGATTCATGTTCATTCTCCTATTGTGTCGTGTCACGTTCGTCCATGTGATTCCCTCCGTGCTGCTGACCATACTGACCGGTCAGTTGATTGTGGCATTGCATCGATTCGCGATGAATCGGCGCAAACTGCTCAACAAGTCGAATTCAGCCCTACGCCCCGGATCGGGAAGAGCGGAACAAGTGGCCCTCGTGAATTCGGCCAGACTGACTACAGTGAATGGGAATCAGACGTGCAAATCGGCTAGGAAGTGTTCTCGCTCGAACGGGACCAGTTGCAGTGAAACGGATTCTACATCTCGAATGATGCTGGTCGTGTTGGGAATATTTTTGTTGGTTGAACTGCCAACGACCGCATGTATTTGTTTCTATGCCTTCTCCATCATTCTCAAACGCGGGGTCTCAGGAGTGTTTTTCGAAGTAAGTTCAACAATTTCACATTTCGATCGATAGTTGACCGTCGTTTTATGCCGACGGATGGATGCGATTCACTGAACATTGGAACATTTGCGCGAGGAACCGCTTTCACGCCAAGTTTTGCTATTACACTAGACAAATTGCCGAATCTCGGTTTATCACATGTGGAAAACCCGGTTGATGCATATTCAGGACAGACGAGTAGTAAAATATCTAAGCAAGCTCTTGATGACCAATTGCAATTAAGAAACTTGTCTTCAGTAATCCAGCTTCCCGAAGGTGGTAAGATGTTGGAAAACTATCTGGGATTCTGACACATTTAGTTTCAAGGCGTAATCGCGTTTGAATTATATCATTCACCGAATTCGCAAGCTCATCGTTAAGTATATTTCGACTGGAAAGGATCAAGAAAACACTATTTCAAGGAGATGTGTTGATGCATACTGCGACAGATGCGACCGCTTGCGTATCTTATCCTGTTTACCTTAATCCGTCAGGAGAATAATGGAAGGGTTGGAGCTCCACAGTGACCCATTACTGATAACTGATGACTTCTGTCGACTCACTTTTTACCTGTTTGAGTGGTTCACAACCGTTTGGTTACAAAATGTTTCCTTTACCGAACCCGTGACACTTCAGGGGGATACGAAGTGACCAAAAATAGGCGATTGAAGTCTGGTGTGAAGGAGGAAATCAAATAATGCAGAATTTCCCCAATACAGGGGCGAATTCACTTCTATTAACATCGCAAAGATACGTCTTATCCGATAAGGTGCGCATAAGGCGTTCACATGTGGTACCAGCCAGTGGGGTAATGAACACATCTGGTTTGGAACCTTGCGCTGTTGATGATTTCCTAACAAAACGAATCATCCAGACGCTTATCCCACAGGGAGTTAGATGGATCGATTGTGACACTAAGTGCTCAAAAGACAAATAAATCACTTTATCATGTCTTTCTGGGGCAGATTAGTGAAGAGAGCAGTCATTTATAAGCGATGGAAAGATGTGTCACAATCGACAAAGGGCACTGGTCGAGTGTTTCCTCCTGTTTTAGACTCATCAAAGGGGCATAGTTTCTGTGTGCCCGTCTGGACTCGAACCGCGAACATTTGGACTGGGACTTCGAACCTTTACCCTTGAGCTATGCAGTCGACGTTCATAATTTTGTGCCATATCTCTCAGCGTCTCTAAACTTTGGGAATCGCCACCCATAGGGCACCAAGGTGGAAGGCTGAAGCCAAAGCCGAAACCAGATTGTTCAAACCACTACACGGTATCATTTTCTGATCTCCGTGGTGCTTCTCTCAGCCTTGCCTGGCACCCACAAAGAGAGCAGTAAAAGGTAGTCGGTGGGCAGGCATACGGAAAACGTGACCAAGCCATCGGATGTGCTGTAGAGCGATGACTGTTTTTAGAGGGTGACTATCCACACTCAACACACGGCGACGAACTCGATGTTTCCACCAAACACGAGCAATGCTTCGGAGACATCGATGGTCGAATGCAGAGAGTCGATTAGAATCCTAAACGTGGTTCGAGTCTTGATAGGTGTACAAAATGTATGCACTGCTAACAAGTTCCAGACAGGACGAAACAGCTGTCGCCTCTAAATGCATTCAACTAGTGGTGACTCAATGATCTCCCAAGTAGAGAAACCCATACACAAGACCATCAACTGCGGCTGTTACCTGTGAACAATCGAATAGATTGTTCCAAATTTACTACTAAGAAGAGCAGTTGTTCGATTTGTTGAAGCGACAAAACAAGAGTAGCATTGTTTTCAGTGCCCTGGAAAAGAACAAAACACAAAACATTGAACCAACAACGAAGTATTGATAGTTCATTCAGGTGGACTTTCAATGGATTCTCAGGAAAACCTGATGTGGAACTCAGCTTTCAAGCTAACTGGTGGATTCCATACGTCTCCTTTGCGTGTGGCTAATCTGAATGAGAAACAATCAGCGCCATCAATGTTACCGTGTTGCCTAACGGGTTGATTTTTCCCTGTACATGCTATTAAATAAAGCAGAGCCGCATTAGAAAATGTGCGCGAAAACATGGGGATTGGGATTGGTGCGCCCCTCCCGATTCACTGAGGATGCTATCAATTTGGCCCAGTGGCTGATATAGAGTTCAATACAATAAAAATAATCTTTGTATAAAATAAAATTGTCGTTTACGCTCGTCGGAAAGCCGGTCTTGAATTGTTTGTTTTTCAAGTTTTTCGTAAGGGTTTGTATGCATGAAATTTACGCACTCCACATTAAGCGGCAAACCTGATACGAGTTAATCTGATGCTGATTTTTTTCAAATGACCGGCAAACTTTCCGCGAAAGCAAATCCTTTATAATATATACATAACTCAATGTTTCCACTTCTTTTTTAAATTTATTCATCGAACATACAAACGTGCAGTCAACAGTTTTTGGAACCAGGTGGCGGATGTGGGTGGATGGGTGTGGCGTTAGCACACAACAGAGTTGCTTGTGAAAACACGTAAATGAGCATGATAGGCGGTAGTTGCTTGCTTCGAACCACTACTCAGTCAATACTAAGTTTTACGTTTTACCGTTAGCCCGAAGACTGCATTAATCTGGCAGTCCTCTCCAATGATTTTTCGATTAACTCGGTGTATTCTCTTTTAGATGGTCTTCAGATCCGTTGTGCGATTACAATACTCGCTCATTACCATACAACTGTAACGTAAACGTAATCCACGCTCTCCCAGCATCACAGGATATCCCTTGGCTCGTGTTTTCGCACATGTAGAGACAGGTAGAGACGTTTCTGGTGACAGATGATGGTGTTCGTGGTGGTACGCAGGCGCCCGCCATTTGGGTTTGTGAGGAAACATTGACCCAAAGGTCCAGATAAATCTAAAAGACAATGAAAATAGATCCAAAAGTTTCCAGTCAGGTACAATCAATCATGATAAACTATTACTGGCGCAGTTGACAAGCATTGTTGATTTACTTATCACTTGAGTACTTCTGAGGATTAGAGTCCTAGTTTGATTGGATGTCTTTAGTGACGCATGTAAGCTGGAACTCGAAAGATAGGGTATTCCATTTTACACCCCACCCCTACCTCCTCCAATCCATTTCATTGAGGCTGTTATTTGTGACGCACCCATAAATTTTAAATTCTGCGTAATGAATAGAACTGTCATGGTAACCTTGCTCTGTGGGCAACTTGGAATGATGAATGGCCTATGGCATTCGCAGTGCGTCTCACTGATCGCTAGTATATCTGTGTTAACCCAGGTTCAACAAAACCCTGTGGTGAGCTGAGATTCGCGGAAATTCCATCATTACCTGATGAGCCCCTCATTGGTGGAAACTCATACCGTACCGGCAAAGTAGTACATTGAAATTTTGTGGTTTCTCTTTCGCAAAACATCTTTAAGGGTCCTTCAGTTCAAGCTAGCACTCGAGGGAAATCTCCACTTCCCTNGTCCAACGGTTGTGCTTGTATAATTCAATAAATGAGCAGAAATTGACCAAAAGCAACTGAACAAGCTCGGCAGACATTAAATTTGCAGTTCCTTCGGTATGAGTACGCTGCATAGCCCGGGTTTTAAATCCATTCCTCGGATCTGTACACGAAAAAAACAATATCTTGTAAATTAAAAATATTATTCACTATATGTAATGGACTTGGGAAGTGAAATCATTTTTTGATAAGTTGCTTCCATTGTTGATATAGGTGTTGATCAAACACCCTGACGCTTNTTAATCAGAATTGTTTCACTCAACATTAGTGTGTTGAGCCTCATTCACGGGGGATTGGATATATGCTATTGCCCAACTCAGACGCTGCTTATCTTTAATAGTAGTAGTAGTCGATTTTGTTTTTGCTCCATTTAGTCAGACGTCGTTAAAATGCACGATTTCTCGATTTCCAAAATTGGTTGCTGGTGCATCGGTTGCAAGCCAACGAAGCCTCAGTAGAATTCAATTCTGAAAATGACGCGTTGGCATGATACATATATTGTGCTTGCATTTTAGAGATTGGAACCAGTCGTTTTTGCTTGGAATCCACCCAGGTTACTGTCGAACAGCATTAGCCAGTTTCCTTCAATATATATCGTACTCTCGTCGGTAATGACCACGGTTCCGGTAGCCAGCGTATCCATGTTTTCAAAAAAGAACCAAGACTATTGCAATGAGCAATAACATTCCAGATTAATTCTCTCTACCCATAGATATATCGATATGCACGTATGATACTGAAAACGGCAATGTATTTCCAACAGAAGAGTCATGCTGAACCAGTTCTATCCGTACTTGTCGATGAGAATTAATCACAATGGAAGCATATCTTATATAAGATTTTAAGGCTATATATATATCAAATTGCAAAACAATGTGAATGCAGTTCAGTTTCAGTTTTAGTGTTCCGGTTTTCCTTGCTCTCTTTTGGCTGCCCATTTGGATAAAAGAGAAGAGAATAAGAGAAGTGTCTTTAAACCTCGATGACCTTAATCTCGGGGTCCCTATTCAGGGGGTCTAACGGGACCTGTGAGACCCAGTCTCCTCGATAGGATTTTCATACTCTCGTGCCAGGTCTTCGTTTGACTACCCTTAACCTGTTTGCAACCTCGACATGCCTCGGCAAACATTGTCGCCGTGGCAACCTATTTGGTGACATGCGTAGCACATGTCCCAACCAGCGTAATCTATGAAGGTCGATTAGTTGCCCCAATGAACGCCTTCGATTGCCTACCCTCAGCATTGCTCGTCCGGTTACCCCACCAGATTCGTGCAATGCGACGTAGACAGCGGAGTTCGAACACAGACAATTTATTTTTATCCCGTTCCCGTAGTGGCCAAGTCTCTGCACCGTAAAGCAGCACCGGCCGAACTGCTGCAGCATATACTCAACCCTCCAAGGATAGCCAGATGTCGCGAAGGTGCCACAAATGTCTCAAGTTGGTAAATGCCAGCCGAGCTTTTTGTACGCGCGCCGACACAAGTGTGATATAGCTGCCCAGATAGCAAAACGTATCTGCTTCCTCCATTACTTCCCCAGTC